CACACACACACACACACACACACACACACACACACATACACACACATACATATACATGCGTAGCTTCTCTAGCACCTGAATCGTGTGATTGTCCCTTTCAACCAATAGTGTTGGAAGCTTGACTGTCTCTCGCTTTCACCAATCAATTGATACAAATTATTGGGAGTCAAAAGTTTGTAAAAGCCGGTTTCTGCTTTACAAGTACCCATGGTATAATCTACTTGTCGGCCTGACCCGATCCTATCAGAATGATCGGATGAGTTGAATAAGTACTCGTCATCCTACCTCACTCAGTATTGAATGACCTACCGACCCAGTCCTGCACAGCCGACTTATACTTATTGTAAACAGTGTGCGTCCCGCATTAGTGGCTGGCCAGAGATAACAATGACAGGCGTTTCAGACGCTGTATCCAGTGTGTATAAATACGCGTCTAAGACTTGAAACCGTGCCCTGTGGACACTCTTCTCGTCAACAGATCAACTCAAGTAGGTATGATAATTTTTTTTTTTATCACGCACATTATATTTGTGTTTCTTGTTGGTATTGAAAAGACCGTATGCGAATCGGTCACCTGGATGAAGATTGTCTATCGTGAATGGTTGGCGGGTGCTCTGATGTGGTTTGCTCATTCTTTCTTATCGAAAATCTGTCGTCCTGATCTCTCCTCCTTTTTTATGTTTGTTACTCTCTTGTAACCCCTCATCTTCGGCACTGATATGACCTTATTGTGTTGCAAGTGCCGTAAAACTCTTTCTTAAAAAAATATTGTTTATCAAATTATTATGTAATAGCTACCCCTCTGTTTCATAATCCCATGTGCTATGATGCATTACAATAATTGAGTTTGAGATGTGGGTTGTTTGAAATCGTACCCGGTAGGTTCCAGTTCGTAACTTCTCCCCCTTTATTGTTTGTGTTCATCTGGTCTGAATCGCTTTTTCCTCGACTAATTGACCACTAGATATCGTGTCTGTGCTGCGTGTTTCTGTTTACGTAGAGATATATAAACTTTGGGGGGGGGGGATACGTTTAATTTTTTTTAAGACAACAAAAAACAACAAAAATAAAACAAAACACCGAATAGGACGTGGGTTTTTTAATTGTCAGGGCTTGACAGACGAGATGTAAAAATCACAGCAGTAATTTCTACGCAATCTGGTAATGCACTGTAGACAATGGGAGCGGTCACTCGAGTGACACGCGTTATTTACAGTCCTGGCGTAGCAGAATCGCCCACATTCTGCTCTGCCGCGACACTCCAGCGTTTTGGTGAAGCACACAGTTCAAAGGATGCGGACACACGAGATGTATATATCGACGCATTCCTACAATAGCTGTGGGGGGTTTTTTTCTCGCTTCTCATTCAACACGACAATATTCCCAGTGCAACCATGCCTTCTTATCACGAAACAGAGCGTTTGATTTTGAAAATAAAGAGCAGAAACATCATTTGGGACAACACAAGTGAGGAACATAAAAACATTTTTTTTAATATGCTTGGATAGATCTATGCCTAGCACTCAAACCAGAATACAATGATACGTTAGTAACTTTTCCATTTTATTTGACATCTATCTTGACATCTTCCTGAAGTTCTTCATATAAGGAGTAAAACTGTCCTCTTTGTAATCCATGAGAAACAATGGGATGAGCCCAACATCCTCTTTGTGGCTTTCTTTTTTTAAAGATTATTCTCATCACCATGACCAAAGCCACCCTGACTCTCCGATTGTCCATGTTGAACTAAGCAGTAGCGTTAAATGTCGCCCCGTGTGGCTGCCACACAAAAGTAGGCGACACTTTCTGCGTAGAAGTTTCTGCGCGACAATTGTAGTCGTCTACCAAGGCCCTCATTGATTGACTCTTCCTCTTTTGGTTTCCCACTAGGGGGTTTTCTATCAGTTTATCTTGAGTTTCCCTCCTCCCGGTGATTGTTTTATCGTGTTGACAAGGAAAAACAAAACAAAACCCCAAAATCACTGACCTTGGATAAAGGGAGACGTTAATACACCTCCCGTGGTTTTTGCAAGTAATTTCTCCTCACTGTTTGAGTATCCTGCCTGATTTCCACGAAATAAGTCCCCCCCTTACCCCCTCCTTTCCCGCCCCCAATAAAAAAAATTAACAAAAACAAAACAAACCGAACTCAACCCCCCCCCCA